CATGCTACTGGAATTATATTAGTGATTTTCTATTTCTGAAGCTTTTCCCAATATATCCTGAGTTAACTGAACTTATGTTATTAAAGTTGTACTTATACGCTGGTAATTACAACAGTCATATTGTTATGGTATTGATTCTCTAATCATGTTAATTGAAAATTTTATTAGACACCTGGACTTAAAAATTCATATTTGTTCAACTACAGTTTTGTACATTCTTTTTGTATGTTCAATGTAAATGCACCAACAATTTTAATACATTTTGTAGGAGTTTTTGCTTTAATATCACACATTAACAATTTTTATACGACCGCAAAAAAATTTTGCGTTCGTATTTATATATTGGTATGACGCTGGCGTCGTCGTCGTTGTCCGAAGACACAATGGTTTTCGCACTCTTACTTTAGTTTAAGTGAATGGATCTCTATCAAATTTTACCATAAGGTTCTATACCACAAAAGAAAGGTGGGGATTGATTTTGGGGGTTATGGTACCAACAGTTAAGGAATTAGGGGCAAAAAAGGGGCCAAAAATAAGCATTTTTGTAACTTCCCGACATAACTTGTGTGTTAGTGTATGGATCTCTCTGACATTGTACCACAAGGTTCCATATCACAAAGGGAATGCTGGGAATGATTTTGGGGGTAATTGCCTCCAAATTTTAGGAATTAGGGCCAAAAAGGGGGAAAAAACAAGCATTTTTCTAGTTTCATGACAATAACTTGTGTGTAAGTGTATGGATCTCTCTGACATTGTACCACAAGGTTTCATATCACAAAGGGAATGCTGGGATTGATTTTGGGGGTAATGGCCTCCAAAATTTAGGAATTAGGGGGCAAAAAGGGGCAAAAAACAAGCAGTTTTCTAGTTTCATGACAATAACTTGTGTGTAAGTGTATGGATCTTTATGAAATTGTACTGCAAGGTTCCATATCACAAAGGAAAAGCTGGAATTGAGTTTGGGGGTAATTGCCCAAAACGTTTAGGAATAAGGGGCCAAAAATAAGCATTTTTCTAGTTTCCAGACAATAACTTGTGTTCAAGTGTATGGATCTCTCTGAAATTGTACTGCAAGGTACAATGTACCATACCACAAAGGGAAGGCTGGGATTGATTTTGGGGGTAATTGCCTCAAAATTTTAGGAATTAGGGGCCATAAAGGGGCCAAAAAAAAGCATTTTTCTAGTTTCCAGACAATATCTTGTGTTCAAGTGTATGGATCTCTCTGAAATTGTACTGCAAGGTACCATACCACAAAGGGAAGGCTGGGATTGAGTTTGGGGGTGATGAATCATAAGGGGGTTCAAAAAATTTGGTGGGGGGATTTTTTTTTTCGTTTTTTTCTTTAAAATTTTCCATTTTAAATTGGTTATTTCTGATTTATATATAAAAGCAAATAATAATGATATGGTTTGAATAGGTAAAATGTGTCAGAAACCTATGCTGTGTCAAATATTTAATTACAATCCAAATTCAGTGCTGTATCAAGCTTGAATGTTGTGTCCATACTTGCCCCAACTGTTCAGGGTTCGACCTCTGTGGTCGTATCAAGCTGTGCCCCAGCGGAGCATTTTATTTAATTCCAATAACTCTTTGAATTTTGTTATTTCCTTTTATTTCCTATGTCCTGATTAAGAAGGTACTTTTTGGAAGGTAGTATTTTAATACAAGGAAAATACATGAAATACCAATTACTATAAATCTCCTTTTTTTATCATTTTTTTTTATCAGATTTCCTGCATTAATAATTTTGAGGAAATTAAATCATGGCTAATTACTGATGCTAATTGGATATGAATTTTGATTTTTATCTCGCCTGCGACAAAAGTCGAGGAAAGCGAGACATAGGGATTGCTTTTCCGGCGACTCCCGCTCCAGCGTCAACAATTGTTCAGTTTTCTGCTTAAGTTAGATAGATAGGAACTACTTGTAATAGATCATTGATATTTTGTATGAAGTTGCATTACCATCAGTACATATCAGTATGACGACTTTTTCGGGGCCCTGCCCACTAAGTCATGGTCCAGTGACTTTGAATTAATTAGCAATTTTCATTGATAAGTTTTCTGCTCAAGTTAGTTTAATATGAACTACTTGTGATATGTCAATGATATTTTCTATAAAGCTGCATTACTATCAGTACATATCAGTTTGACGATTTCAAGGCCCTGCCCTAGGTCATGGTCCAGTGACTATCAGTCAATTTACTCTATTAACAAGTTTCAATGTTAAGTTTTATGATTAAGTTAGTTTGATAGGAACTGACTTACAATAGTCAATATTTTCTATAAAGTTACATTGCAGTCTGTATATCTCAGTTTGTCAACCATTTCAAGGCCCTACCATGCCTACCCACTAGCTATATATATAGTTGGTCCAGCAACTTTGAATTAATTAGCAATTTTGTTGCTGTTGTTATTATTATAATGTTGCTTATGAAAGTGGTTTAATCTACTAAAGGGATGCACAATTATATGCAAAGTACGTAAGTAAGTTTATTTTTTTATGTATTGTTTTCTTTCAGTTTTTGTCTCGCCTTGACAGAGTCAAAAAGCGAGACATAGGTATGCTGTTTCCGGTTGTGGTGGCAGCAATGTATTAGTTTGTGATTAGGTCTAGTTTATGGTGAACCACTAGTGGTATGCAGTTGTATTATCATTGGCACATCTCATTTCCATGGAGATTATTTGACCCTGCCTCCTCAGTCATTGTCTATTAACTTTGAAACTTTTGCTTAGTTAATATGTATTAGTTTGTTATTAGGTCAGTTTATGGGGAACTTCTAGTGGTAGGTCAATGATATTTGGTATGCAGTTGTATAAACATTGTCATATCTCATTTCCATGAAGATTATTGGGCCACGTCCCCTCAGTCATGGTCTATTGACTGAATAATTTTTTGCTTATATATATATATAATTAGTTTACATTTATAAGTTTGTGATTAGGTCAGTTTATGGGGAACTTCTAGCGGTAGGTCAATGATATTTTGTATGCAGTTGTATAAACATTGGCATATCTAATTTCCATGGAGATTATTGGGCCACGTCCCCTCAGTCATGGTCTATTGACTTTGAAACTTATACCTAGTTTACATGTATTAGTTTGTGATTAGGTCAGTTTAAGGGGAACCATTAGTGGTAGGCTAATGATAATTGGTATTTAGTTGTATAAGTATTAGCACATCTCATTTCCGTGGAGAATATTTGGTCCTTACCCCTCAGTCATGGTCTATTGACTTTGAAACTTTTGCTTAGTTTACATGTATTAGTTTGTTATATATTAGATAAGTCAATGATATTTTGTATGCGAATGCATTGGCATTTGTGAGTCTCATTTGCATGGAGATTATATAACCCCACCCCTTCATCATGGTTCATTGAAATTGACTTTGAAACTTTTACATAGTTTACAAGTTAATGTTTGTGTTTAGGTTTGTTTAAAGGGAACGACCTATGATAAGTCAATGGTATTTGATATGCAGTTGTATTAGCATTGGTTCATCTAATTTCCATGGAGATTGTTCAGCCATGCACCTTCAGTCATGGTTCATTGACATTGAATATTTGCATAACTAATTACATGTTAAATAAAGTATTGCTATTTTATTATCAACATTTGCATTATCAAATAACAAAAAGGCGGGACATATCTCTGTGTTAACAGTTTATTATATTATTATATTAACAAATGTTTTTTATCTGCTCTACATTAACTGACACATTTTTTTACAACTTTGATTAAATAGTAATGTTGCTGTCCATCAGAATGTTTTTTTCTGAATTTACTGCGGACAGGCTAGACAATTATCTCTGTGTCAACAGTTTATTAAGATGTTTAAGAGGGAAAATATATTTAAAATTGATTTATAAAAGCTTCTTTAACTGTTATTGTAATGAAATTTCTTAGCGGGCTTGCCAAGAGTATTGACAAAATTCACAATTACTCTATTTTTTTAACATTAATTTTTATTCTTAGAATTACAGCAAACATTAAATGTGTTTATACATTATAAGAATAAGAAGATGGGGTATGATTGCCAATGAGACAATTCTCCACTGGAGACAAAATGAAATAGAAGTTAAGAACCGTACGGCTTTCAACAATGAGAAAAACCCATTCCGCATAGCAAGCTATAAAAGGCCCTAAATTGGCTAAAATGACAAAACCCTACTTTCCTTTTCATAATTTTATCACATATAGTTTAAAAGCCATTTTTGAAAATCTTATAACATCCTTATTATTTTTTCATACTTTTTGAAAGAAAAAAGTTGACAATGTTAAATATATGAAAAATTTAGATAGAATCAGTTCCCGCCAAATTTTCAGTGGCGTATATATAAAATAACAAGCACACTGACCCTTCATTTTTTCTGCTTTTTTAGTTCATTTATTCATATACTTTCAATGTATAACAGTCTTTTAAAAAGCTTGTTTTTTTTGAAACAGAGTAGCGAACTTCCTTAATTGATAAAATAACACAGAGGTATGGCTTGCCTTTGTTGCCTAATCACAAGCTTGAACAAAGCACATAATTGTTGTGGCTATTGTAACTTCCCCAACTATTGTTGCAGGAGAGATTCAAATCGGATAATATTTCAGACTTTCCTTGTTCTGTGCTGAGCCTGCAGAAAAAGTCCTTTTAACTTCTTAACTTCCTTGTTAAAAAAAGAACCTACAGATTATTTAGTTTAATTTTCAGACAAGTCTGCTCAATACAACAAATTAAGATATTTTTTATATGTTTTTTATTATCAAGACAAGATAGGTTTCACAAAAATTAAATCAATTATTTAGATTTTTTATAGCATTATTTGTGTGAATGATTTCCTGTAATTGAAATATTTAATGTTTTTACAAAAATACAAAAAGAAATGCACACCAAATTTTTTGGATTTTACAGCAGTTCAACGCTGATTCTATAGATGAACTTACTTATATTTTTTTTAATGTACATGTTTGTTCAGTGCTAAACCTATAGAATTTTATTTTTATTTTCAGACATTCCTCGTTCAATGTTGAACTTATTGAAGAATAAGATATACATGTTGACCAGTCTTGGTATTTGTTGTGAGATTGCTATAGTCAGTGGATTTGTCGTCTTTCTTCCAAAATATTTAGAGACACAGTTTGGTACATCTAAATCAATGGCAAATCTTTTCACAGGTAAGTCAAAGGTCAACTTAAATTAATATTTCCCAGCAGTTTAGAGTTTATATAAAAATAAGAAGATGTGGTATGATCGCCAATGAGACAACTTCCCACCAGAGACCAAATTTAAATGACTTAAAAGTTATAGGTCAGGGTATGTCAGATACTATATTTTATAACGGGGAATCAAATTCAGTAGATATTAAATAAATGGAGAATGTGTCCATAGGATACAGATAGATGCCCCACTTGCATATAATGTTATAAAGGGACATAACTCAAGAATGTTAAAAGTGACGCCCCCAAATTCAAATTCTTCCTGTGTTTTGTAGTAATAAGCATTGTATATAAGTTTCATATCATTTGGTGGAAGCAAATTAAAGTTAGAGAACGGAAACTAATTTTGGGACATACAGAATGACAAGTGTAACACTTATTGCCCCCCTCTGCTGTGGCAGGGGCAAACAAAATATACAGGTAGCATTTGTTTAAGGTTGGTGGATTAGTATTTCCCAAATCCAAGGCTCAGCACACCAGGCAAAGTGAGCGAGAAAGAGAACTCTGGAATAGACAGACATTGTATATTCTTTAGTATTCAAACCTGCAGAGTTCTTCTCGAAAAGTGGTGGTCTGAAGGTCCTGATCACCAACATTTTCCAAAATACAGACACAATTTTGATATTTTGCAATAGAAATAATAGTGAGGACCAGCTGATTTTCTTAAAGGACCACTAGGGAAAAAAGATTCTCAGATTTCTGAACCAGTCATGCTTGTGCATACCAAACATCTGTTTAAACCTTTACAATCTTCTATACTGAGGGTATTTGGTCTAGAGGAAACAGTAATTATCATTTCTTAGGCCACAATATTTATCTTATTTTTGACAGTCAGTTGACCATTGAAAGGTTTGTTTGGCTTCATGACACATGATATATATGTTTGTCAAAAAATTGTATTTTTGACAATGTCAGTTGATTTCTTGTTCAAAATCAATAAAAAAAATAGTTTTTTGTTTAAAAAAACAAAGTTCTGGAATTACAGCTTTTTAATACGTTTGATTATGTTCGTTTTCATATAGGAATGTTCGGTTTCATTTTCAACCAAATTTAAACAACAAAATAGCTTTACTTGATAAAATATTGATGAATGGAGAATACTGCCTGAACTTTATGGTGATTAGTTTTAAAAATGAATTTTATATTCTAATCTGCCCAAAAGCAAAGTTAGATATATTGTTTGTTTGATTTTGTCTTCATCCTTTATCAGGGCCTCTTGTGAGGCCCTGGAAGGGGTGTACAGGATAGAAAATAATGGGCAAAAAGTCCAGAGTAAATGCCAAAAAAAACATAAAGAATAGAGAAAAATAGGGCAACATTTAAAGGATATAGAATAATGGCCTAAAAATTTAAAGATTTAAGAAATGGAGGACCCCCCACTGAAACCCTCCTTTATGAACAGGTACACTGTTCTGTTTAATGACAGATTTTGTAAACATCATCGGAAAATTTCTACTCAATCATATAGAGTTTTCCATACAATTTAATTACACTCCCTTGCCTATATATATTGATGGAATTTTGTGTGCAATAGACCCCTAGAGAGATGGGTATTAGTTGTCAATAGATGATTATGGTTCTCCCAGATGGGGGGATTGTCATTGAATTAAATATATTGTCTTTACAAGTGGCGAAATGAAATGGAAATTTGAAATCGTGTTCGTGGAACTTGTTGATAGAAGTCCATCATTAGTATGTTACAATATCCTTTCATAACGTAGAACCCCCTCCGGGAAAATACTGTGTTTAATTGTGTAATAATGATTATACATGTGTATGGGATAATATTAAGTGGTGAAGAATAATTTGGAATAGATTACAGAAAATATGAATTCAGTATCTTCTTAAAGTCCTGTCTGAGACGAAAGTCAGAGGCAGATTTAAGAAGGGGATGGGGCCTGACCCCCACCCCTAATGGATCTAACATATACAAAGATGTGTGTTAAATGCATAGACTATTATCATGTCAAACTCTTAACGTTGCCTAGTTTGGGGACCCCTTTTTCAAAACCCTGGATCTGCATCTGAAAGTCACATGGGATCATAAAGAGATACTCAATTCTGCTGTAGCCATAGTCTGGATAGTCATTTTTTTTAGACATCAATAACTTCAAATCTTCATGGTCAAGAGATACAAAAAAAATTTATCATCTTGAGTAAAATTTTTGATTGGACATGTTTCTTTTGCTTAGTCTTGAATTTCAGGTCAGTTGAGATCTTCAGTCTGAGATAAGTATTTGTGTTCCATGCTTTACAAAGTAAGGGATAAAATTGTGAGTGGACTATTACTTGTCTAGATACTGTAAATTCAGAAATTTTTGCAATGTTGTGAAAATTGTGATCATATTAGACTTGCAAAGTTTCAAAACTTTTATTTAAAATTTTGTAAGCAGCATTTCCTAAAGTTTCAATAATGAATCTCCCATTTTTGTCCATTGTTTAACAGACACAATAAGGAATGAGGGTCTGGATTTGGGGGGGAGGGGGGGGGTTCTTCATTTCTTCATTCTTTAACTTTTTAAACCAATTTTCTCTATTCTTTATATATTTTTACCCTTATTCTCTATTATTTATATTTCAGAACCCTTTTATTCTCTATTCTTAATTTTTTTTGGCCTATTTTCTATTTTCTGTTTATTTTTTGTCCTTAATTCTGCACTTTTTACCCATTAATCTCTTTTCTGAGACTTATCCAGACCCTCATAAATGCATGCACCAATTTCTAAATTTACAGTATAATGCATAAGTATGTGTTGAAAAATCCTCATCAGTTGTAGTGAATACATCAAACGTTGATGTCAGCCATCTGCCGATTCATTCCGTTTACGATAATTTGTCTCCATCCAGTATATTGAGCAATAGTTTATATTGACCTTAGACGACAAAGTAATTCAATTTCCGTTCCTTAAGTAAAAGTATGGAATCAAACATCTTACCAACTATATTATATTGTCCTGTGAATTACACGGAAATCATTTCCATTATGGCTCCAAGTTATTGACTTTTTTTCCAATACTTTGACATTCATAATACTTGGTTTTATGAGTGTTAATTCTTGCTATATTTTCATAGCTGTTTATATTAATACTCTTAGCTTTTAGGAATCGCTTGGATCCTTGTACACTTTGAAATTTTTATTTAATACTTCCGCATTGTAACTCATAGTCCAAGGGCTAATTAGAATTCTCTAAGAAATTTAAGTCTCTTGGGGCATTTTGTATCAGACAAATTTGAAATTAAATGATCGTATGTGGAAGCTACTTTCTACAACTAACTGCTAAATGAGTAAAATGGCCAAAATATAAGGATGATTATATATCACCAATCTATCAGTAAAATTTTTCTATATAAAAATTAAGAGATGTGGTATGAATGCCAATGTGACAACTATCCACCCAAGTTCAAATGAAGTGGATGTAAGCAATTATAGGCAACCGTACGGCCTTCAACAATGAGAAAAACATATATGTTATTGGATAAATTTATTATACTTTTTTTATTTTTTGCTTTGAAGGAGGAAAAAAAAAGAAATGTTTCAATAAGTATGTCCTTTTTAAAAAAAATTTAAATCCTTAAATTCAAACCTTTAAAAAATAGATAGACTGGGGGTAATGCATAAAATTGAGAATGGAAATGGGGAATGTGTCAAAGAGACAACAACCCGACCATAGAAAAGACAACAGCAGAAGGTCACCAACAGGTCTTCAATGCAGCAAGAAATTCCCGCACCCGGAGGCGTCCTTCAGCTGGCCCCTAAACAAATATATATACTAGTTCAGTGATAATGAACGCCATACTAAACTCCAAATTGTACACAAGAAACTAAAATTAAAAATAATACAAGACTAACAAAGGCTAGAGGCTCCTGACTTGGGACAGGCGCAAAAATGCGGCGGGGTTAAACATGTTTATGAGATCTCAACCCTCCCCCTATACCTCTAGCCAATGTAGAAAAGTAAACGCATAACAATGCGCACATTAAAATTCAGTTCAAGAGAAGTCCGAGTCTGATGTCAGAAGATGTAACCAAAGAAAATAAACAAAATGACAACAATACATAAATAACAACAGACTACTAGCAGTTAACTGAAATGCCAGCTCCAGACTTCAATTAAACTGATTGAAAGATTATGTCTTCATCATATGAATATCAGGCACAATCCTTCCCTTTAGGGGTTTAGTATCATACCATCATAACATATATGAGAAGAACATAACCCGTGTCATGCCAACAACTGGTTTTTAAAAAAAATGTGTTTAGTGCCGATGCAAAGACCCTATAAGTGAATCAATATTAACGCCAAAATATGCAATCTTTAATGACCTGTCAACAGTATCGTAACTATATCCCTTCTTAATAAGTCTATTTAAAGGTTTTGTTTGCTTCAGAGGTGAATACTGACATTTTTGTGCTTTATAAAGAATATTTCCATTTCCAGTTTGCTTGCCATATTGTTAGAAGCTGAGCCTATTATCAAATGCTTTATTGTGACCTTTATGAATTGATATTTTTTTGTTAAACTTTTAGGCTTGCTTTCTCATTGAAGTTGTCAATTAGTTTATGTACAAGTTTATTGATTACAATGTATTACTAAAAGAGCACATATTTCCACAGCCTATAAACTTTCAGTGTAAGGAGACATTTTAATTGCTGATATCTTAGAAAATGTCTTTGTTACATCTTTTTATGGCTTTGCTAATGTTTGTTTTACTTGATATTAATTGGAGTTAGAACATGTAGAACTTATCTATGGGAACTATTTCTTTGAAATTATTGTTCAATCTTTTTTTCATCCATTTTTTTTTTTAATTTGATTTTTTTGATAATGTGGAAATAAGTTTAGAAAAGAAAGAAACTTGAGGGTTGAAAATTGAAAAATGCTTACTTCAGACATGTCATAAGGATAAAAGATTTATCTAAATATACGAAGTGCTTTAACATGTTTTACTGTCTGTGT